AATTTCAACCCTCTCTTCGTTAAATGCATATTTTATTTTTACATGGGGAATAGAATGACTGCTCTTATAACAAAGGAACGTTTTCTTATCGTCAAATTACTTTTGAATCAGAGCTATGAGCATCATATAGGTTCTAGTTCACTATAACTACATTAGAAAAAGTTCAGACTAATATCCTATTGCCGTCGACCAATACCATGGCCTCTTAAAAAAACTATGTTTCAAACATACGTCTATAATAAAAATATGTTTTTCACGCCGTTCATACACAGCGGCAAATCTGACGTTCTTATTTTAGAATAGATGCTATCGGCAAATTCGAAACTTGCGCAACGAGATATTCTTATTAAGATCTATCTCTGTGCAAAGTTTCGAGCCGAAATTCAGAACTCAGTGTTTCTAGGGGGACCAGGCATTGCTAAAAAAGCATAGTATTTCGACAGTAATAACCTATTAGCCCGAATACTTTTTAGAATATTCATAACTCATTAAAAGTTCATATAAGTATAGATATAGATGTAGTGTGTAGATGTAAGGTTTGGATGAAGAGTAGATCCACACCCACATATACACAAGAACTCTTCCCAATCACACTCATACCCGTGAGAAACTATGCGCCTCCCCTGTTTCAAAAGCAATTTGACACTTGAAAACATTTCCTTGTACGACAAAATAGAAAAATTTTTCTGTTGAACTGAAAAGTTACTCTCTGTTTCTATTCAAAAAACAGAAAAACAAAAGTATCTCATACCAGCCATCAATTGTCCTTGTTTTTCTCTTCGACGTCTTTCAACTTCAATAGCAATTTTTCGTTTATAATTTTCCAAAACAAATGGTTTATAAATATCAGCAACATCTTCAACTGTAAATGATGTTGGTGTTGTAAATGGTTGTTTATAACGTAAATGTTCTTTTCGTACTTGATATAAATGTTCAGCTGATAAACTACGACCTAATTTATTAGTTGTCTCATCAATAAATTCTCTATTACGATCTTGTCTCATAAGTGCTTTATCACGTGCAATTGTTTCAACATGTCGTACACTTTCTTGCATACTATGATTTAATTGTGATATATAAAAATCAGTAATAAGATCACTTGGACGATCAAGTAATGAACGATTAACTGTTGATAAATAACGTGATAATTTTTTTTGATTTGGTATTGTTTTTCGTTGATTATCATCTATAATTTGTTCTTCTTCTTCATCGGACCAAAATGATGAATTTGATTTAATATCAACATCACTATCATTATCAGCAGGTTTCATTTGTGATGTTGTTGTTGTTGTTGGTTTATGATGCATTTTTTGTTTTGTATATTGTGATGCATTTGATACTTGACCAGCAATAGATGCATCAACACCACGAAAACGATCTTGCATTATTTCATAAAATAAATCAACATTTGGACCAGGTGTAACAAAACCTGGACGAATAAGTATTGGAGTTTGTGCAGTCTGAAAAAAATTTCTTTTTTGTGTTATAAATATCAGAGTTTTTGAAAAGCAAAACCAAGAATCCTTCTTCTATGATCATATAGT